GGTGGTGGTGCTGGTGGTGGTGGTGGTGGTGGCGCTGGCGGCGGCGGCGGCGGCGGCGGTGCTGCTGGTGCTGGTGCTGGTGCTGCTGCTGGTGGTGGTGGTGGCGGCGGCGGTGGTGGCGGCGGTGGTTGTTGCTGTTGTCTATGTATATTGGTACTACCAATTGTGTGATTCTGCTGCTCTTGTTGTTGGTGGGGAAGCGGTGCACTTGTAGTCGCTGTCGATGTCGGTGGCTCAACTGGTTTATTGCCCCCACTGTTCCACATGTTGTCTGTGCGACACTCTCTTCATCTTGAGTGCGGGCGGTGTGGGGTGGTGTGGGTGGTGGGCTGGTCGGCGGTCGAGGTGGCGTTGGCGGGCTTCTTACTTTTTCCGCTATGATTTTGTGATACTACAGTACTGTTATGATAGGCATGAACCGGGACAGGCACCGGCTGGTTCAGGGGCGCCGCCCTCAGCGTGCCCAAGTGGACGTCCAGCGAACTGGCGCGTGCAAGGATCTTAGCGTAAACTCTTTGCGCCGTTTGAGTTTGGCTGCCCTGGCTCTCAGACACACGAAGAGCTGCGAGGATGTGTGAGTGCTGCTTTCTGACACGTACACACTCACAAGTTTCAACAACTGCACAGTACCCACCCAACACACTATCTTATGATGTGTGGGAATGCTTCGAGATTACCTATTGAGAGTGATCGGGCTCCGGTAAACTGCCAGTCGAAACAAACACACACACACACACAGACAAACACAAACACAGACACAGACACAGACGGACACACACACACACACATACACACATACATACATACATACATACATACATACATACATACATACATACATACATACATACACACACACATATCACCTGGAAACGTCGCTCTCACTCCAAGCTTGTCCGATCATAAATCAAAACGAATCACATGGGGCCTTCTCACGCTGCCCATGTCTAGCCGATCGTCCCAATTTTGTCGCATGTTCCCTCAAGGAACCGACACAGGCCCTCTCTCAGTGCCCGTGTCCGAGCCATGGGCGCTGTCACGGTGCCCATTCCCTAGACATGGGCCCTCTCACAGTGCCCGTGCTCAGTGCTGTCGGATGATCCCCGATGGGCCCATAATAAGACTACGACTACAATACTGAGTCAAGGGGATGATCGTCATGTTCCTAGGGGCATGAGTTAGGCTGTGGGTGTCCAGCTTTACTCTAAACCCCACGGTGGAGGGCCCCGGCCGGCCCTGGGCCACCAGGTTTAGACCAGGGCTTTTTGTCGAGGATACGAGGCTGTCAAAAAAGGCCTGGGTCGTTTCGCTCGAACCAACGGCCTCAAGCCCCGAGGGCTGCTGAATGGCTTGAACTCAGGAAGCTGATACACCGAATGCAAACAAGTCGGCCAGGCTCCATGATCACGGCAGGCCTTGGCTATTGAACGGTCAGCTCACTCCCTGATACCAGAACTCAACATTGCTGGTTTCTCGTGCTGTGCGATATACACGGTGCTGCCACAATTCTGCTATGATGTTGAAAAACGTGTCGCAAATGCAGGCTGAACAAAACGCGGAGAAGCTGTGACTCAAACTTGGATGGTCTACGATCGAAAGATCGACTTGTGATCTTTGGCATTGTGGACATGGAAGCATGCAGGACAAGAACAACGTTCACCTGCGCTTGACATACCCGCGCTTGGCTTGCTGTAGATTCTGGGCGAGATTGTGCAGATAAGCAAGTCTTTCATCGCACTTACACCACTGCAGGGAGTGTGCAAATGCTGTGATCCCCACAAGAATCACAAGAATGAGAACGATTGGCGAATGTTCCCGGTCGTAGTTGAATTGTGCCGCAGTTGGAAACACTCGTTAATGTCATTTCCGTCGTCGTCGGACCCTTAGCACCGCCACCAATGCCAGCGATTCAGCTCCCAGTTCGCCTAGGGTCACAAGCATTGCTTAGCCCTCCTTGCAGTTGCGAGGCCGCCAGAAGCCGGCATTCAGCGGCGTGTCCTCCCAACCACCCCAAGTTGCAGCAATCTCTACAGCAGCCACTCTAGGACTCCGAGAATTGGAGCATACACAACATCATGAATTCGAACCCTTCCCCCCCCCCCGGTCCGCCAGCTTGGCGCAGTTCTCAACGTTCGCAGCCGCAACGTGCCACAGGGCCCTTGGTTAAGTCAACACTTCGATGCAAACAACGATGCATTTAAATTGATGTCCATTCTGGGTCTTCAGCGACATAGTCCGTGCATGTCTGTCTATCTATCCATCTATCTACCTACCTACCTACCTATCTATCTATCTCTCTACTGGTACCTATCTATCTGAACTATCTATCTATCTATCTATCTATCTATCTATCTCTCTATATATATACGTACAATATAAACGTGTACTTATGCATATACATATAAATATGTAATATATATATATATATGTATATGTAGTATGTGCCTATCCCGCATGCACATGGACATATGAACACACATACACACGGGATCATACAGCATCATACATACGATCATACAGTCGTACAATCTTACAGCCATACAATCGTATATACACACGTACATTCGTACATGCATACCTACTGTCCTGCCCACCTGCCGACCTGCTTGCCTGCCCGCCGCATGTATGCATAACTACCTACACACCTACATGCGTAGAGACGTACATGCCTACATACATACATACATACATACATACATACTTGCTTACAGTTACTCACTTCCTGGCATGCATGCAGACAGGCAGCCAGGCAGGCAGTCACGCATAGGGTACACGCGTAAAGACATGCATGTGTGCATCCACGTATCCATGCGGGCAGACATGCAAGCAGGCCTGACATGCAGGCGTGCACACATACATACACATTCCAGGTGCCAAGCTTGCCACACCTTGCCACGGTTTCAGACGCAAATAGAAGCTTATGGAATTGTTGCCGCCAAGGAATCGGGTCCCTTAAGGGCTTGGGGCTCAAACTCATACCCCAAGCCCAAGGCTAAACCGTGCGAGCCTGCTCTCGATATATCTCTAAATGCTCCCAAGCGGCCAAACGAAGGAGGACGTCATGGATCCAGCCATGGCCAGTGCGCACAGCGCGAAACCAAGAGCAACAGAAGAAACACCACTGATGAAACAAGACTAGTCCTAGGCAGAGCCGCTCTAGCTGGTTGACCTGATTTTGCCCAAGGTTCAGCCTGTTTGGAGCAGTATTCGGCTGGAGCAGCCCACATGCAGCACCCCACTTCGAAATTCATTGCACCATCATCTTCTGATCATCTTTTGCTTCTGAGCCTGCAAAGGTGCAACGCGGATACATCTATCTGCAGGTTCCCTCTCAGGCAGGTTGCTCTCGTTGTGCACCAGCAATCAGCCCGATCCCGCGGGGGTCCCGTCCGAGCTCCGAGACTGCCTGCGTGACTTTCAGAACCTGAAGACGATGGCCTTCGGACACCTGCCAAGCGACATTCTGCTCTCAGCAGCCCCAGCTTCCCGTCTAACGAAGAGCAAGCCCTCTTACAGTGCACTCCTGAGGCACGCCGGACTCGGGACCCTCTAAGGCGTCGAGTGCATTGGATCTGGGTGCCAGACAGCACTTAGCTCGTTGGAGACGGCCGCCACTCGAGTCTCCGAGTCGCGCAGCGCCGCAGCCTTGAAAGCGCAGTGGAGCTTCTGTGGGCCTTTTCTTTCGGGTGCCATGCTTAGAAAGTCAAAGTGCAAGTAGATCACACTTTGCCTGTCTACACTGGACTCTAGTATTGAGTCTTGAGGTTAGAATGCTCACTTCAGGCTTGAGGGGACAGTCCGTTCTTCGGCACCTCCTCATTGATTATCTTGCTCCTTGTAGTGTCCCGCCTTCCCCTGTTCTCCAGTGGTATGGAGAGCATCTTAAACAGAAACTGATATCAAAGAAACCCTCTCCAACAGCGACATACCTCTAAGCACAGCAAAGGCTTTGAAAAGCCGCTCCTGCATTTTGAGAATCCCTCCCTCCATCATGGTCAATGAGGACCGCGCATGTGCAGCGTTCTGTGCTTTCAGCCTCTCATCGACCAGGCGCTCGAAGCCACGCCCCGAATCCTCGCGAGTGGTCGCCACGACAAGACTCTTCACCGTGGCGCCATCAGATCATTCGCCCTCAGCATGACTGCATTACCAGCGGGGCAAGATTGAGCAACGGGTGCCGCAAAACTGACTGCTTTAGTTAACGGTACCCGTCCGTTCAAGAAGCCACTGCGCGTCACTTTGTTTTCTCCGCCGTCTTCGGCTTAGGCTGTCGGGTTCAGGCGCTCGACGAAATACAGCGAGTAGCTATTGTCCTGCCATCGCAGAGCTGTGTCTGACAACAAGGGCGGTCTACCTGCATCTCGGCGCCTAGCGAATGCCTCTATTATGAATCGGTTGCTTTTCTCTCACACGCAAATCTCCACAAACCGGCCATTGCGAGCCTCGCCCAGGCTGGGGTGGTAACGGCGCAATCGTCGGAAGAAGGCGCACTGGGTCTCCAGTCCTCGGCCACATTGAAAGTGCTCAGTCATGTGAGCCGCTGTCAATGTCTTCCCTGAGCCGGGATGCACCTAAGGCAGCCGAGTAGCTTTCGATTCGACAGCTCAGGCCTGGCAAAAGCTTCTAGGAAAAAGGACAACGACAGCATCATATCGAGACGGTGAAAGGCAATTTGTTGACTCTGGCTGTGGTTGCTATCATCATGACCGCTGTTGCTGTTAGTGCTGCAGCTGCTAGATTGCCCATGGTTGCCTAATCTTAGTACAAGTCTACACTTCTTCAACTGCCGCTTGATTGTTCGGATCACTACAGATGACACTCAAAACCCTCGCGCTCGTTCTCCCGAGCAAGCGCTCGGGGCAGAGCGTGTTAGTCACTTGACAAGATTAAGATCTTTAGCATCAGGATCCGTGGTAGCAATCGGGTATCGGACGTTTCCACACCTGCACTTGGCAGCGCTTGGACGAAGCTTGCAAGGCGCGGCCGGGAGTCTGGCAGAAGGAACACGGCACCTTGTCGTATAGGGCCCGACACCCTAAATCCATGAAGCTTCTCAGGTACAACTCCATGTGTGCACAGCAGCCAAGCCCAACACAGAAACTCGAAAGTGTGCCGCCTGAATTACCCTACGATTATATTATAGTATATTTTTTTGTTTTTATTATTTTTATTATATTTGTTATTTTTTATTTTTATTTTTATTACTATTAGAGCTTTAAAAATCTTGGTACCGGGGAGCAGGGGGCCGGGCCCTGGTGGTCTCTTTGCGGCAGGAGCATGGCAGAGATCCTTTGGCCGTCCGATGAACTCAAGGGGTCTGTGATTCGTTAGAGGTGTTCCGTAGGGGTTTCTTGGCTGAGTGATCTGGGCTTGAAGGCTTAGGGTTTGGGGGGTTCCAACTTCGGATATTCGAGGTGGGCTCAGCATTTGGTAGATCTGGCAGAATTTGCAGATGTGCGCATGTCGCAAGGTACTAGACTTGCTAGACTTACCTGAACAGTTGAGAGTTTGGTGCTTTCTTCAAGAGCAGCACGTATCACAAGATCCCAGCGAGGCATGAAACGCAAACAAGCAACACCAGCGCCAGCTGCCGCCCATGGTAAGAGTCGTACACGACGTCGCTGCCCAGCACCAGATGAAACCTCGGCTGTTCCACTCTGAAACTCGCTGCGGCCTTCGTAGGGGGTCTGCCAAAGCCGTCATCCTGCAGTGAGTCAGCCGATGCACTTGATTGTTTGGGATGCAAGATGCAATCACGAAGTCATTGTGCCAGCTGAGCAGGCAACGAGCCCAGCTGGCCTGTCTCGACAAGTTCCTTCAAGGTGCCTGTTTGCAGCACATGATGTGATTCACCCTAATTACATGCAGCCCGGAATATCATCAACAAGAGCCGACTATCGCAGCAGCTTGTCTTTAAGGGATATCAGCAGGGACATCGGTAGGTGCACATTGCTCCTCTGTTCTATTGTTGACGGCACTTTGCCCTTTGCGGGCATGATGCCAAGTCTTCCTTGTCTCTTCCTACTCCTCCTCCTCCTCCGGCCGCTATCAACCACACCGCTCCCCTCCTCACCCCCAGTCCCTAGGCCTCCTGGCGGCTCGCCACCTGATGCTTCCAGGGCGGCTGAGGTGAAGTCGCGGAAGTCCAACCGTCCTCAAAGGCGAGTTGCCAAGGATGTCTAGAGGTGGGGTTGCACAGGCCAGAGGCTGGCAAGTGACTGGCGAGGTCATGTCTGGAAGGACAGAACCATGACAGTTCTGTTTTGCAGAAGCAGCCACAAATCCTGCTGTGAAAACGGTTTAGCAGAGTCTGCAGCCGCAGTTGCCCAATGGTGAGTTACTTATGAGACTCCACGCGTGAGTAATTATCTTCCGTATGAACTCGCGTTGCGGTCCTGTGGTCGGTTTGCGCTCATCTTCACGGAAATTCGCGGCGATGTTCGTCTCAATCGCTGCGAGCACGGCAGGGTCATAGTCCTGCGAGCTCTGTAACTCTGCCATGTCATGCCATACGTGCACAACTGCAGGGATCGCAACTGCAACAACTGCAACTGAAACTCGCAAGGCCGCCCCCAGTCCGTCATCACCACCTGTGCTTCCGGAAGTAGCTTCCTGAGCATCTCGAAGCAGCGCAAGCACGCGCGGAGGGACCCTGCACGGATCGCCCTTCCATCTTTCGTGTCAGGGGGGGCCCTCCCCTAGTCTTCAAGAAGAGACTCTGGGCGGTGAGGCCCAGGAGGCCCAGCCCAGCACCCACTTCGAGCAGCTTGAGGCCTCAACGCCGTCTCCAGTGGACGTCTCTTGTTCACCAAAAATCGGATTCCCGAACCTGGCCTGCTCCAGTGGCTTGCGGCAACTTCCTGAACACGGGAACACGGAGGCACCAAGGCTCATCAAGGCTCATCGACGCGTGCCAAACTGACTTATCACAGGATCTCAATGGGGACCACTTCGAGGCACGGCTTAGAACCATGAGGTTGTGGGAGTAG